AAAGTTATTCAAACATGTATGAAAAAAGAGTTACGTTGAAACTAAATGAATAATAGATATAAAAAGAATAAAATATAAAAATAAAAAGAATGTGTCTAATAAATTTAAACATAAATAAATTAAAAAGAAGAAATGGAATAAAAGGAAAAAATAATGAAAAAGAAGAAGAAGGTCTAAGCCCAAAAGTTCCATTTTCCAAAGCTAATATTAAAAAAGGGAAAAAATGTTGCCATTGGGACTTGAACCCATGACATAGGGGCACTACATGAACCACTTATCCATTGAGCCAAGTCTGTCCTTTGTTCTCAGGGGGTTCATTTTAATATATATACACATAAAATCAGAATTTAACGTTATATATACAGTGTAATTTTTTGACGAGGGGGTTCGGGTGAACCCCCTGGGCTCTACCTAGGTCCGCCCCTGGTTGTTATAAGAAAAAAGAAATTATAGTATATATATATTTTTTTTTTAACTTCATTGTTTGAATGCAGGGGTGTGATGGGTCAATATTGATATCAAAGTAAAGCAGGAAGCAAAGAATTAGCAGAGAAAGATGCAGAAGATAACAAGGATATAGCTAAAGAGGCATTTGAGGGCATAAATAAAGCCAAAGCTAACAATATAGTTGCGTCAATGAAGCAAAGAGGATTTCATATGTCTCGTGCTCAAGGATTTTTAGGCACTCTAGGGATTTTTGGTCTTGGCAAAGTTGGCGATTCAGGCTTAGGAATGGCATGCATCTCAAGCTTTGACAATGTTGGAAGTTCAGGCTTTGATAATGTTGGGATTTTGGGCAATTCGGGCTTTGGTAGACTTGGTAGCTCGGATTTTGGGATTTCAGGAAATTCGAGCTTAGGCAAAGTTGGGATTTCAGGTAAATGTGGCAATTCGGGGCTTGATAGAGTTGGTAGCTCGGGTTTTGAAATTTCAGGCAATTCAGGCTTAGACAGAGTTGGGATTTCAGGTAAATGTGACAATTCAAGCTTAGGAAGCTAAGGCAAAGTTACTTCAAGAAGATGGCGCGCGTCTGCTTGATTTATGTAGTTGTTTGTTAAAAACAAAGTGACAACTAATAACAAGAAAAAAGATGGGTTGTAGTCATTATAAGTCATTGTTGAAAGGTGATAAATGCTTCAAGACTAGTTTTGGTTGATTATGCATTATGTTTCACTTCAAACAAATGTATATAGATGTATGGTTGTGGAAAATAAAAATTGGAGAATTAGGCTTTGGTTGTGATTGGTAGGAAAAAATGTGCGTTTGTTCATCTTCTCAACAATAACTTAATAAATTAAATATTCCTACAAGGTCAACACTTATGAAAGGTTTTGTTGAATAAAATGGCATACCGTAACTAGCTTGTGTATAATAGTAAAGAGAAGATAACATGCTGACGGGACTTATGTTATGCACTCTAAGTTGCTTGGACTCTTCTCTTTCAATATCACATTATTCACGTCGATACGACATAGGTGTGGCCGTGTGAATGTGCATGGGATCCATACCAAAAGTTTGTCAACCAATTTTTGATATTTTGACCAAAATCAATGGAGGAATCCAAGACAAATACCTATGATTTATGTAATCAAAACAAAATCTAAGGTGAAATTGAAGAAAATGAAATAGCTTGTATATAGAAATTTCTATGTTAGTCCTTTTCCTTTTATCTACTTTTGGAGTTCTCCTCTTTATAAACAATATTTTCTCCTCAAAAAACCTAGTAAGTTATCCACATAATATCTCATAATTTAGACATTTATGATAACAATTTTTTTTTAGATACTTGAATTATTTTTGGTCGAATCTGTGCACCTGTATCCATGCTCCCAAATTTTAAAATTTAAATTATGAAGAATCCAACCTCTAAATCCACATCCTTATCTGACTCACCCGAATCTGAGCAACTTAGTGTACCATGTGGCTAAGGTCTCTCAGAATCATAACACACGGTATATGTGTTAGCTAGAAATATATATAGAGATGGTGAAATTGAATTTCTGTTTTAGTTTATTATTGAACCATATGACCATAATTGGCTACATTAATTATGTGAAATTTATTTCAATAATTTAGTTACCTCCACATAGTGGGAGAAATATATTATATGGAAAAGGGTTAGATTTGCTTTAAAATTATGTAAAAGGGTTTAATTTTACCATTCGTAAAATTAATGTGGTCATTCATGTCCTCGTCGTTGCAATATTTGGCTTGAAATTACAGTTAGTCATTTCATCGGAGAACAAATTTAATCAAACCAAAGGACAAATATAAACTTTTTTCTTATGTAATATTGGTAGTGTCAAAAGGGAATTTTCAAACCAAAATTGTAACGACGAAGACATGGATGTCCTCAACTTTTAACTATCTCATAATTTAATAGCAAATTTAGTGATATTGATGTATATTGGGGCCTCAACCCATGAACTAAAAACTATCCCGTTTCAATTTGTCTGTCTTACTTTCATCTTTTGTCCACTTAAAAAACAATGTCTTTTTCCTATTTTGGCTAACTCTTTAGTTTCAACTTTTCACCTAACATGCATGTTGAAGATTACAAAATTAAAGACATTTTGGTACATTCTACATATCTTTAATTTAATATCATAATATTCAAAAAAAATTTTTACTTTCTTAAAGTCTGTGTCAAGTCAAAATCAAACAAATGAAACAGAGATATGTATAATGTCACTAGAATCACAAGTACATTAATGAAGTGATGACAGAACAAAATACATAAACAATTCTTATACATGAAGGAAATTAAAGTTTCAAATGGCAGATTGTATAGCACAACAAAGAAATACATATATGATAACACAACACAATACATTTTTAACAATGCTCTCAAGGCTTTTTGGGCACTTGAGGGATTTCTGGCTTTGACAAAGTTGGCAATTCAGGCTTAGGAATGACAGGAATCTCGAGTTTTGGTAATGTTGGAAGTTCAGCCTTTGGAAATGGTGGAAACTCCAGCTTTGGGATTTCTGGAAATTCGAGCTTTGGTAGAGTAGGCAACTCAGGTTTCGGAATTTCTGGGAATTCAAGCTTAGGCAAAGTTGGAATTTCAGGTAAATGTGGCAATTCTGGCTTAGGAAGCTCAGGGATAGTTACTTCAAGAAGATTACGCGCTTCTGCTTGAATCACATAACTACTTGTTAAAAACAAAGTGACAAATAATAACAAGAAAAAAGATGGGGTATACTTATAAGCCATTGTATAAAGGTGATAAATGCTTCAAGACTTGTAATTTATGCTTTTGTTGATTATGCATTATACTTCACTTCAAACAAGCTTATATAGTGAAAGTAAAAATTGGAGAATTAGTCTTTGGTTGTGGTTTGGTATGAAAAAACTATGTTAGTTCATCTTCTCAACAATAACCTCCTAATTAATCTAACTTGTATAACAAGTATTACCTAATTAATCTAACATTATGTTATTTAGGTGATTGAATGTTTAATAAACATCCTTACATATGTCCCAAATGGCCTTAAGAGTCGCTGAACGAACATTGTTTTGTCTTTCAAAAGTCACTCAACTTAGCTAAGTTAGCTTCCATAGTCATTATTCCCCAAAATATTATATTTGGTACCTATTTAATGACATGACAACAGTAAATTTTTACAAAAAAAATATTTTAAAATTTTAAAATGGATAAGCAATGTTGCATATTGAAATACTCCCTCTGTCCCTAATTACTTGTCCACTTTTGAATTGACACATCTATTATGAAAATAATTATTGACAGAGTGAGTTTATCATTTTACCCTATTAACTATGAAGTGGATGAATTAAAAATTTAAGATTTTAAAAAAGTTCTACCTTTTTCAAAGTAATTAATTGAGGGTATAATAGGTAAAAAAAAAATTGTCCTTTCTTGATTAGTCAAAATGGACAAGTAATTAGGAAAAACTATAAAAGGAAAAGTGGACAAGTAATTAGGGACAGAGAGAGTATCACATTCTAGAGTCAATAAGAGATTTCAATGCAAATGAATACACTACAAAAATCTAGATGATTCATGATCGCTAAATTGCTCGTAATTAACAATATATTTTTTTTTTGATAATTCGTAGCTAGATAGAATTAGCGTTGAGTTTTACTATTTAACTAAAGAATATATTTGTCCTTCAACAGTTTCCTATTTTTGGTAGTGATAGGGAACTACAAAATTAGCTAAGGTAAAAGTCACCTTATTTTAGTAAATTGATGGCATAACAATTAAATAAATAATCCTTCCAAAATAGAGAGCTGGAAATGATTGTATCACAACAAAGGGAAACACATATGATCAATGTTACTTCAATAAGGCGAAGATAAATTTCACACGCCACGCGCTCAGGGCTTTTTAGGCACTTGAGGGATTTCTGGCTTTGATAAAGTTGGCAATCCAATCTTAGGAATGACAGGAATCTCGAGTTTTGGCAAAGTTGAAGTTCAGAATTTGGAAATGGTGGAAACTCCGGCTTTGGGAATTCTGGCAATTTAGGCTTTGGCAGAGTTGGCAGCTCAGATTTCAAAATTTCAGGGAATTCAAGCTTTGGTAAATTTGGGATTTCAGGTAAATATGGCAATTCGGGCTGAGTCAATATTGAGTGGCAACCTACCCAATATATAAGTTATTGGAACTATTTTTGTAGAATAAATATTTCTAGTGGCAACCATTATCGCCACAATAAGAGTTTCTATTGGCATCCTTAAAAAGTTGTCATAAATAACATTTAGTTATGGAACTACTTGTCAGTTGCCATGGCGCTCAAGTTGCTACTAAAATAATTTCATTTCGACTTTTTGGGCTTAGTAGCGATTAGTCGCCACTGAAAGCTCAATTTCTAATAGGTGCATCATTAATGAATGAGTTTCTATAGTCAAAGCATTAGATGATATCTCACACAATAGGCAATCCCTCTTCTATTGCTCTTGATAAAATTAGCATTGGCATGGACAAAGTCCCCTCTCAAATTCTAATACAAAACATGTCTATAATTAATCTCAACATAAAATTTGCAAAAGAGATATAGTGTTTGGTTTGTGTGTGTGTGTGTGGGTGGGGGGGGGGTGACGGAAACAAAATAAAGAGAAACTCAAAGATATGTTTAAGGAGGAACATTTTAGGGGGTACAAAAGGATAGTAAAGGTAAAATTGTGAAATGATTTGTCAAATTAAAAGTGCTTATAAACTGTAAAAAACATAAATTAGAGATGACCAAGTATGATTGATTTTGGCTTATAAACACTTTCTAGTGTTTGCCAACTATATGATAAACCTTAAAAAATATGCTTATGAACTAGTTTGAACAATTTATAAACTTATCCAAATACCTTCTTGATATAAAATTAGCTTATTGTCTACTAAGTACTAATTACTAGATTATAAGGAAGACTCTTTTTTCTGTAACAATTGTGTGTAATTATATACACACGCCTAATTATGTATAGGCAAAGAAAAAATACAAAACTTTAGTCTAGAGTCTAGACATATGGGCATTGTTTATCTATAAAAGGGCAGAGATACTCATGTAATGATGAACCACACTTGTTATTATAACTTTTTGATATATCATATCATATAAGAGAGATGAGCCTTAAAGGAAAGTTAGTTTCTGAGATAAACATCAAGTGTGATGGAGATGTTTTTCATGAGATTTTAGGGCATAAACCACATCATATCTCAAGCATATGCCCTGATAAGATACAAAATGTGAATATTCATGAAGGTGAATGGGGCACTGTTGGCTCTGTTAATTCCTGGAACATTACCCATGGTAAAATACATTATATTTGATTTTAACATTTATTGTTTTCTGGTAGAATATGGTCCATTAGTTTGTCTTTATAAGAATAACATATATATATATATATA